ATTTCACAAAAAATAATTGAATATCAATTCAATAAAAATTTAATTAACCTACTCCTTTTTTTGAAGTCGGTTAAAAATTGCCGCACAAATGACACTACATGCCAACTCTAACTGCGTGACGTCATTAGTTAGGTAAACAAACTAGACAATGTACACTTGACACTTGGCAGAATTTCAAATATTGAGTTCTCAGTCCAAAATTTTAATAGTTTTCACTTAAGAAATGATTAAACGGATAAAAAAAAGGTAATGCGCGAACGGTGAATTTCAAAGAAGTTTAGTAGCGGTAGAGCTCCTTGTGAAAGATTTCGTCCAGGGAAGTACTGCATAGACATATTTCTGCCGCCAAGTAGTAACATGAGCAGGGTAAAGGTGCTGATGAAATTACAGGCACTTGGGACTTGTCAACTTATGTCGCAGGGTGACAGACGCAGTGGCAGTGTCCCTCAGATTTTTGCGATTTAAAGAGCTGAGTGGCACTGCAACTGCTATAGACAGGCATGTAGCATACAACCAGGTTCATCACTTGGTCGTCCCGTCACTTGTTATAAATAAAGCTCTACTGCTACTAAAAACTCTACTACTTCAAAACAGCAGGTAGAATAATAGCCAGTTTTCAAAGCCACAATTATGTCAGGATCATGTACATGTACATGACCACGTGTAACACACGAAGGCACACAATACAAACACGAGATATCCTTCAGTAACTCAGTCTACGATACGTATTTACTAACGATTGTATTTACCTCGACTACGGATCATTATTATCTTTAGACGTTGTCTCACCTGTGCTTTATCTGTATGACATAAGCTTTACAGTCAGCGAGAAAATGCTATTAACGGTGAAACAAATCAATAGAGAATTTCCAACTTGTCAATGTTATTTGAGGCGCAAAAGTGGTGTAACATACGTTGATTTATTTTCTCATCTTTATGAATTCAAAGTGCATTTTTCAATTGTTTTCAGTTTGCTATTATAATTGCACGTTAAGGTGCTTAAGCGTTTAGTGTTATATGCAAATATTTTCAGCATTCTGAACTATTGATATAATTGACCGCTTTAGTTGTGTAGATATCGTCTGATTAAAGGTAAAACCACATAAGTGACATTTTCCACAAAAAATCTCCAAATTATGTATCAGTTGTAAGAAATTCACCATGTTTCTACAGATAAAACTCCTACTAATTTCGTAGCTTTTTTGTTATTGAGCTTCACGTGCAGAAAGATAGTGATTTTTTTACCATAGCTATATAAATTAAAGACTTTTTGTGGAAAATGCCAGTTATGCGGTTTTACCTTTAAACATACGATATTTTTTATTACGATTACCGTTTTGACGCTGACTGTACGTAGTATTGGTAAATGAAAAAAAAAAAATTTAGTATAACAACGAATGATGACGTTCGTCGATTTTACAGACTGATGTGGGTGGCCGGAAAATAGATTTTTGTATTATTGATTCGTAATGCATAACTTGGACCGCCTGTAAATACCTCGTAACGTATTATCTCATACTTTTGAGTGTAAAGAATCTGAGACAGCATTTAATTTGTTTACATTTTTAAAGATTTCAGTTTTGTTGGTCTACTTGGAAAGACTAGTTATTAAGTTCAAGGCAAGGCTACTTTGAAGTTTTTGTAGGAAGTTTTTTTATTATACCAAGAGACGGGGCGAACAAGTCGTGCGCCTGGTGGTAAGCGACATGCCTGTCCATAATAAATATCTGAAAGGCATTGGTTATGCTCACGTCACCTTGAGACATAAGTTGACAAGTCTCATGTGCCTGTAATTTCACCGGCACCCTTAGGTACCTTATGATAGAATGCCAAACAGTGTAGTAAGAGAGCGTTGTGGTGTGAAAAATGGTATAGTGACCAGAATAGAGAGGCTGATACTTCGATTGGTTACGTAGAAAGAGTGGATGTTGGTAGTTTGACGGCACAAACTTAAAGAGCGAAAGTGGACCGAAGTGTAGGGAGAGGTAGACCTCGCCGTACATGTCTTGATCAGCTTGGGGATGTCCTTAAAAAAGGCTGAATTAAAAGCACCAAGAATAAACGCGCCTGTATGAAGAGAGAGGAGGCGAAGGAGGTTTGTTAGGAGCGTAGCATGTGGAAATTCATTGCCTCTGTCTACCCCGGTGGGAGACAGGTGTGAAAAACATGAATAGGTATTTAAATAATTCGTCTTATGTTAATATTAAATGCTCCCATTTTGTTACCAGCATCGTTCGTACTTTCGCCCAAAATAAAGAGGATAAGAAACGCGTGGAGAAGGCCCTCAGCGAGTCAGGTCTGCCCACCAGCAAGAACGATACCATCAGCCAATCCAAATTCCAGTTCGAGGACTTCTTCGCGTTCTACAAAAACCTCACACAGAGAAACGAGGCGCAAAAGATATTCAACACTCTGTAAGTACTTCTGCTTATTAAAATTATATCTGTGTTAATATGTTATGCTTTACGCCATAGGTTCCCAAGCTTTTTGGATCCCCCCGCCCGCTTAGGCAAGATAAAAAAAATTTTAAAGCTCACCACCACAAAATAATAATTGAAAACACGTATTTTTTAAATTAATTAAAACAAAAATCATAAGAAAAGAAAATCATATATATTTGTAGTGAAGTTGCGTCAAATCCGATAATTTTTTAAATTTTGGACAGCATCAACCCAGTTGCTTCCGAGGGCTCTATCCTAGGACTCTTCAGCGTCCAGGGGGGCACTTTGGGAAACTATGCTTTACACGGTCACAATAACAACCGTACGAATTTACATGAATTAACAAACGGTGTACGTTAAGTTATAAAAAATACAAACCATTAATTCGAGTGATTGTTTGCTATTTTTTTTTTGGGATGACGATGAAAAATTAACCACAAAAGCGATTACATCATTCGCCTCATATAAAAACTAGAAATACCTAATAAGAACAATCATAACGATGTTTCGGAATGCCTAGTATATTGCGTCGAACAGCTTGCTATCTACAAGTGTGAAAATTCACGCAAGCTAAGTGCAGTAATGGTTATAAGAGATAATTTGTCGACTCTGATTGTAAACAACAATATTAGGTTTACTCATTCTTAATTATTACCACGGCCAAGTTATGCGACGTGATTGAGAAGCGCAAACATAATTATGAAGTCGGCAAACATTGACAGGTATTCAAGGCTTTAAGTGCTTTCTGCTCCTTGCTGCTCACAATTTTAGAGTCCAAAGTTGTTTGAGCATGAGGCGATTGAACTGAAGACTCCAAATACGTAAATATTGCTAGAGTTTGACTGCTAATTTATGTCAAAGAATGTACTGAATTGGTACGTCTAATTTAAAGAAAATAAAATTTATAAAAATTAAGTAAAAAAAAATTACATTTTAACCAGTTTTTTTAAAATATCAAGTAACGGGACGGACAAGTCGTGCGTCTGGTGTTAAGCGACACGCCTGTCCATAACACTTGCAATGAATTTTTAAATACATGAATGAAATAAACCGGCAATTAACGAGTGTTTTTCTCCCACATCATCATCACTGTCATCGACAAATATGAAACATTGAAGGGCAAACGTTTTACACTCGAATATTCATGTATCGTTTTTTTCATCGCAGTTGCATGTAAAAGGTATCATTGCATACCGGCTAACTTGACTATAATTCCCCAAATAAAACCCTCTTGCCTTTTTTCTTCTCATTACCGACCTTGGCTGCTGGCTTTGAGGCGTTATGGTTAAGTTAGTCTGCATGCAATCATACTATATATGTGCAAGTATCATCAAAAACATTGTATGTTTCACGGGCGGTACGAGACATCACTTTTCGACTTCGGGCTCCTAATATAGTCTCGTTCGTAATTCCTTATTTACCGCCTTTAATAGATAATGAAATGAACTATAATAGATCTTTAAAATTGAAGAGATAATTGCAAATTATAAACAGTGAAGTAATTTCCGCCGAAATACGCATAGGCATGTTAAAACCAAAAACAAATATGTGTAAGAAACGCATAGAGAAATTCGTAAGGTCTACAAATTCGACCTATAGCCCAGTTGGTAGAGCGGTTGCCCTAGATTGGCATACATACGCAGTTTTGGCCCTGTAAGATCGAAGGAATTTCTTTGTGTTCGATCTTTATATTAATATTTATAACAAACTAGTTAAGTAATAATTCATTAATAGAAAGATCAAACACTATGAAAAATTCCTTCGACCCATTGGAATCGAACCAGCGTCTTCTCTGCAGCATACCGTGCCGATCCGACAGTGAAGTATTTTTACATAAAAGGAAGAATATCACGGTGGTAAAAAAATATCATGATATTCAATGAAATCAATATTAAAATACATACGCATAATTTTAATATTAGAAAACGTCACATCACATACGTTGCTCAGATCGCAAAGTAAGTTACTAAAGCACTTGTGTTATGAAAATCGGAAACAACGGCGGTACCACAAACACCCAGACCCCGACCCAGACCCAGACAATGTATAAAACTTGGTTTTTCTGCACTAATCCGACAGGGAATCGAACTCGGGACCTCGAGAGATTGCGACACAAGTGTACAAGCCACTCTACGGATGTTGTCAATTTAAAAACGGGATTTGCGAATATTTAGTTTTCCACGAGATCATAATTAAACAATTAATTCAATCGAATCAAGTTGTCCATAGCGGCAAATGATGCATCCATCCGGAACACCCTAACGTGACACGGTTGTGATTTTTACTATTTATTCGATTAAAAAGATTTTCCAGTCGTTGAATCGCAGAAATTGACCGATATAAATTGCGTCATCTGTACTGCACCGCTGCATTTAGGCCCACGTCATGTTGTATCCGTTATCTTTTTTAATTCTGTAAAGCATTTGGAAAGCTGCCCGTAAACAACACATATGTGTGCGGAATTACGTTAACTTTCCAAGAACAAGCCCCGTGTCTTTGGAACACCCACATAACTTGTGTACGTAATAGGAATTCCATGGACTACAATGCAATTTAGTTTAGCTTATTATAATTTTATTGTTTAATAGTCAATATTTGTGTCATTGTATTAATTTTGTTTCGTGTGTTCCACTTCACTATCATATAATATAATATTCATAGTCCTCAAATACTGGTCATATTCTTTCGCCATGCGTTATTTAATTTGTTTCCTTAGTACTACAATTACTATATCTTTTTTACCCCTACGCAAAAAAGAGGCGAGTTGTAAGTTTGAAGCCTTTGTCTTGTCTGTGGCATCGTAGCTTCCAAACAGACGAAGATAATTTTTTTTACATAATAACGCATACACGATCTCAAATCTTTTTTTTATTTATTTGAAGGTTATGTTAATCGGGATGGTTTTTAGCTATGTTTGATAAACATCTATAGAGGTCGTTGTGAAATAGTTCGTCCAGGGAAGTATTTGCCACCTTACATATTTCTGCCGCCGAGCAAGTAATGTTAATTACATTACTGCCTTCCGGTTTTGAAAGGTAAGGGTGCTGGTAAAATTACAGGCACATGGCACTTGTCACGTCTCAGGGTGGCGGGCGCAGTGGCAGTGCTTCTCAGATCTTTGCGACTTAAAGCTCTGAGTGGCTCTGCAACTGTTATGGACAGGCGTGTAGCTTATCATCAGGCGCACGACTCGTTACACATACGTCGACACGTCACTTGATATTATATAAAAAAATGTCTATTCACTAAACTGTTAAAGGTCATCAGGTCTATTCTTATTATCCCAGTCATAAAATGAATATTTCCTTTACTTCCACTTGTCCGTTCAAATTGAAATTTCATATACTACGGAAGTCCGATGATAATACAATAATATGGTAACCTTGGTCTGATGCTATAACCGGGACAGGCTGGAGACTACCCAACTCTTTGCAGTAGAATTGTCGTGTTTGGGATCATTGAATTAGTCTCAACAAGTAGTGTGCTCACAGGTGGTCACTTTATTGGCTTTTTCATCACACTTGCTCGTAAATAGTGTCATGACGTGCAAGCAAAGTCGACTGTAATGTCCTAAATTATGGCCAAGGGCTTTTTCATTGCATTATCAACCAATAGGTTTTTTATGTCAAGATTAAGCAAAAAATTGTTACGCTTGACAAATCTGAACATATATTTTGCATGTACTTGAAGTATAAAAAATGGAAAAGCCCGCCTGATGGAAAGCGGTCACAGTCACACCTATGAACGCCTGCAACACCAGAGGCGTCACGAGCGCGTTGCCAACCTCTTTAGGACCCATCTCAAACCCCTTTTGGACCCATCTCAAACCCCTTTTGAAGGACTTATTAGTTCTTAGACTTTACTTCGAGTTGTTATTATCTATGCAAGAGTAGATGGCAATCTGTTTTAAAAAAAAATTCCGCCATTTGCAAAACCCGTAAATGTTGTGATATCGAAATTTATCGTCGTATCTATTTCTTCGCAAATGTGATGAAAAACAATTGTATGTAGCACGGGCGGAAAAAAGTACAAACCTCGAGTCATTAAAGCCCTCAGCCTTCGGCTTTGGGCTTGTAACAATCTATCGTTGCCAGTTTATTATTTACCGCCGTTAATAAACAATGTACTATTAGAAGTATGCTGTTTTCTTATTTATTACTTGTGGTTTTTCATGATTTTGCATGTCGTGCATATATTTAAACGATATTTTTATGACATGTGTGACCTTGATCTATTTCTTGTAGAACGGACGGCAAACCTCATCTAGCAGCGACGCAGCTAGTCGAGTTCCTGAACGAAGTACAGCGCGACCCACGTCTTAACGAGATCCTACATCCCTACGCCGATCTTCAACGAGCCAAAGACCTGATCAAAATCTATGAGCATAACAAGTACCATCAGCAACGATCGCAGCTTACCTTCGACGGGTTCCTTAGGTGAGTGTGCCCCGAATACATAAATATTATTTCTGTTAATATTCATCCAACACAAGCACGCATGTTTAGTTGACTATTGAGAACTTCGAATATTTTTTTTTGACTATTTGTGCCGTTCCGAATTTTCGTTGAAAATATTTTTACTTAATACTTTTATATGCAATTGCGCTTGAAACCGTCAAATTAGATGTGACGTCACAAACTTGTCTCCAAATGTTTTTCAGTTCGATCGTCGATTCCAATTAATCAATGCCTGGTATGGCATTTAGCAGTTTCATGTATCTTTCAATAATATGTCCTAACTCGTGGCTAAACTGTTCTTCTACATATTTTTGTAGTGGCATTTTTAACCAGAGTTCGAAATTGTCAATACATTTATTGTCTTTCATAATTATCGTGATATCCGATAATAACCCATGTTGATACATGGTTTTATGTCTATATTTTTTGTTTAAAAACGATAAACACTGAAAGTAAACAAACATGTAGAACACTGTTTGGGAAAACGAATTGGCTTGTGAGTTTGTTTAGATTAAATTTGACACGTTTGGATACTTACAAACATATGGTAACGCATTGCTAGCGGTAGCATTTTATTGTTCCAATTAATATTGTACATTAGAAAATGATTATCAAGGTAAATTATTTCAACAAAAATTTCGAACCCTGTTTAAGGCGAGGTATTTCAACGCGGGTCTTGATTTTGGGAAGTGAGGTTTGTGTGGGGGAGGGGGTCGCCTCTCGCGTCCCGCAGTCCGCGCGCTGTAAATCATATGAATAAAATAAGAACAGGCGGAGCAAATTTGACACAGTTCCTATGTCGACAAGCACCACATGGCGATTGACGGGGCAGCGGTCGACGCCGCGAGTCGTTAAACCGCTGGGCGATTTGCAAATTTTGGGTTAACGTGAATTTAATAACTAAATAGCGCTTCTGTTGAAAACCAAAATTTAGAAGGTTCTCTGTAATACTTAAAGAGAAATAGCTCCATACACAAATTATGTACAAAGTTAGATATAAAGTTACGATACTTATATAATTCGTTGTAGTCTTTTATTTTAGCCCGTTTTCGGGATTTTGTATGATCGGGTAAAGTACATCCTATCGTGTAACAAATTAGCACATTATTTAGACAATATCCTTAGGTGTATCGTGTATTTTTAATGTAACACCGTTATTTAATACTAAATACCTAAACCATTTGTTCTAGCAAAACAGTTTTTTTCTAAGTAGTTTTACCAATGACCGTCTTAACTTATTTGCAGGCGGTACCTCTTCGCAAAGAGAATGATCATAATTAAGAATGCAAACATCCTTTAATTATTTAAGTCAATTTTACAGCAATTGAAAAAGTAACTTGATTTCTGGTCCTTTGGACTGTAATATGGAGCTGCGGGATATTATCCAACTATTAATTTTGTTGAAAGATGTAAAAGATGATTTTATTTCTACTACTCAGATTCCTAATGTCCGAGGACAACCCAATAGTGGCGCAAAGCAAGCTAGATCTGAGCGACGACATGGACCAACCGCTGGCGCATTACTTCATTAACAGCTCTCATAACACCTACCTCACCGGCCATCAGATCACGGGCAAGTCCAGCGTTGAGATTTATCGGCAGAGTCTTCTCGCAGGGTGTAGGTAAGTGTTGATGTCATTTTAACTACCTATTACGTACTGGTCACAGGTTACTTCTACGGACCGTATTAATAAATAACTACTAAGTTCGATATAAACACCTATATAACCCATATAACAAATCGCTTGCGATGTCATACAGATGTCAAGATGCATCTCAAGGTTTCTTGTAATAATAAATTCTGGTGTCCGCGGCTTAAAGCACACAAGTAAAAAAAGTGTTTAATTGTTTAATATACAATTACATGTATATTTTTTGTATTGTTTATAATGTTGGAAGATGTGAAGAGAATTATAAATTTGAATCAGGTTAGAGTGTTAAAAAAACCACAAAAAAATGCGGTCGAATTGAAACCCTCCACCATTTTTTTAAGTCGGTTGAAAGACGCCACTAGAATTTAAATTACAAATTAATGAAGTAACAAATGAATTTTACTTATGTTTAGTGCTTCAGTCAGCATATTAATTAATTTAAATGAATGTTGCTTGTTTTTGACTTATGTGCCCTAGAATTATTATTTATGTATTTTTTCTCAACGTACAAGGTAAATTACGTAATGAAATGCTTACAAATCGTGAGCCTGGTGGTAAACAACACGCCTGTCCATTGCAGTTGCAGTGCCACTCAGAACTTTAAATCTCATAGATCTGAGGGGCACTATCCCATGTACCTGTAATTTCACCAGCATCCTTACCTTTCTTTCCAAACCAGAACCCAGTAATGCTCACATTATTGCTTGGCGGCAGAAATATATAAGGCACTTATAATACTTCCTTGGACGAACTCTTTTAAACTGTACTAGTGATTTTAATATCGGACCGTATCTGTGCCTAAAAAAGTAAAATGCCTGTATTGTAGTAAAAACGCCAGGTCCCCATTCCTTGGAATGTGCTAGAATTAGGTTAAACTCAATTTTCTATCAATTAGATGGGCACAGTATATCCAGGGTGAAAATGGATTAAAATACTTATTATGTGTAACAATCGCGAAAACCTAAGAACTCGATAACAATTATCTGATTTCGATCAACTACTTTTACAGTTTTAATAACTTATAATAATAGGACTATAATTGATTATAGTCTTTTATGATACCATCTCAAGTGACCAATACTAGATAATGACCAGTTTTGACCGTAGCCTAATTCCTGAGTTACGTTTATTAATTAAAAAAAAATTTACCTTGGATACAAGTCTTTCAGTCGACACATAAGAGATAATAAACATGGAAAGTGATGTAAAAACGTAATAGTAAAAACATAGTAGTAGAATATTTTTTTATTAATAAATGAAAACTTTGATAACAATACGACATCTTTGGAATGTGCAAAAGTTGAAATGATTCGAAAAGATGAAATGATTTTAATTTTTATTGTCTAAATAATCTAGAATATTATCATGAAGTATTACTTAATATTCGAGGATACTTCCTGAAACATTATGTAATATTTCACGATAATATACTCGAATACTTAAATAATAAAAATTACCACCGAAATTAGGTAGAGAAAATTAACCCGATTATTTTTTATAATATTACGTGTCAGGACTAACTAGTCGTGTGCCTGATGGTCAGCGACACGCCCCTGTCCATGACAGTAGCAGTACCACTCAGAATAATGTTTGTAATTGATTACGGGGGAGTTTGTTGTACAATATTGGCTAATCAATGTGTTTATTCTTTAAGTGATTTTAATTTGTATGGCATGTTCACTTTACTTCGAAATAAACCATCTGACGCTATTGCACGTTACTGCAGCTTTTTCCTTATTACAACAATTTTAATCTTGATTCCTATTTCGACTACCATTTAGAGATTGACTATACGATTAGTATAGTTCAAGGGCGTGCTTGTTAGAAAGAAATCACGCGAAGCGAATCAGAATAACTTTTTCCCGGGCGAATTTATTTATTTACTTATTATGTGGACAACAAAACAAATAACAATCAAATTACATTGTTAAGAGTTAAATATGAATTGCTCAGTTCTATACCAAATTATAAACCTACTTAACGGTTATGAAACGAAATACTGTCGTAACTCAAAAAATTGGAAAAACAAGGTGAAATTGAGAAAACGTCATTTGAAAATAAAAAACTGAATGTTTCTTATTGGGAATATTGAGCTTGTGGATATATTTGGTGCATCACTAGCCTGTTACCAGGCAGCTGTACGGAACTTTATTTTACTTGAGCTTTAAGTGTGGCACACACACACTCAACACACACACTCAACATAGCCCCGCACTAGGGAAACCCTGTGTCGCGGGTGCCATGGACACACACTTAGACAACCACAAATTACACCCAAACTCACGAGAGAAACAATTGTAGGCCATACAAATATTTCTCCCGGCCCGGGAATCGAACCTGGGACCTCTGCGTGGCAGTCCGGTATGGTAACCGTTCGGCCACGGAGGCAGTTTAAAAGGCAACTTCATGCTTTATTTGAAATGCTATATAATTATAGTTGCACAAGTAATTTTTATTTAGGTTTTGTTAACATGTTACTTTTTTCCTATTTGTAATGTTAATCTATACTTATTTAGTATTTGAAATGTATATTGTTCTACGTGTTATATCAATTAAAAGGTGAATAACTGTATATGTAATGTATATAAATAATTAACTGTGTTTGAATGTTGCGGCAACCTTTAGTTGAGTTAACACTTCAGCATTACTCCATTTGAATTATATAATCAAAATTGTATGTATTAAGTGTATGACTTGTTGGTTGTCCTAAATAAATAAAATAAAGAATTTTAGTTATAGATAATAATTAGTTATGCACCTATAAATGAGAATATAAATTTGTTGGTTCCTTTCAGTAATTTTTTGAACTTTCAAATCGTGTTGGATGGATGAAATGGAGTTGAGAACTCCTTGTCATTTTTGAGTTACGACTTCAGAACAATAAATACAGTAGAAGTGCTTAGTTTGCGTAGTATGTGTGCCAACAGTTCGCCAAGTTCCGCAAATTTGAGCATAGTCCGCCATTTTCGCTTTGTACATACGTTGTATGGTTGTGGTCGTGTCAATTATATCAAGCAAAACTTCGAAAATCGTAGAACAATGCCTTAATTCGCTACTTTGGAGCGTAAAAATGATCGCCCTTGCAATGTTATCTGTAGTGGTGTTTCGTGTCATCATTTAGTCTTAGTTTCTTTAATTTTAATAAATTTTCTGTTTATCGTAATTAATTTTGGAAACCTCATATGGCATATAGCAATATGGTCGCTTCTGTTTTGGTCGCTTGTTTTTTGGAGAACTAAATAAATCTCTATTTCGATATGGAATAAAAATCAATATAAAATCAAAACGTCGTCACTTGCAATAATAGGTATTGATGGTATTAAACTTTCAACGATATGTCAACAGGGTAAAGTTTCCAGACACCAGTTATATCTTTTTAAATTTGGAAACCAATCATTATCAAGATTTCATAGTATTTCAAATTATGAAAAAAACTCACACAAGTTTTGGCGATAGCGGTTCTGATAGTAATCGAGGCTGAAGGCGCTTCCGTTATTAAGTTTTTTAATTTTGTTTGCCTAGGTGAGATTCTAAATGTTTGAAACCCCTGTCGGCTAAGACAGTACAGTTTTCTGGCACCGTTTCTAAAAACCCACTTTGCGCCACTAAGTTGATGTCCGATATGCGACCACCATAACCTTCGTATACGAAATTTATAAAGCCATCAGGAGTTGAACTTATAAGATATTTAATAGTGTTGCAATTTTTATATTGAGACCAAGTCAACGATTGTTCTGTTGGCTTCTTAGGTTTTTCGATTTCTATTTCAAAGCAGACAATAAATGATTGAACTTCAGCATAAGCAGCGTTTGTCCTAAACACCAATGGTAAATTTTTTTTTGTATCAATTACTTGTGGCCAGAAGGTAAATTGATTGAAAAATGCCTGGAGAATGGGTAAAATTCGGTTATATATGCGCCATAATGTAACTTTTGATATTTCAAAAGTATCACCAATTTTTTCGAATGTCTGAATGTTTTTCGAATCGTTATTTCTTATTTTAAATAGTGTTAATAAAATATGTAATGAACAAACACAACACTTTTTTATATTTATATAGTTTTTTTTTGATAACCCTAAGTAAGTCATAGGCTTTTTCATAATTAAACTTAACATATACTGTCTTCCTGGTAATTGCTTTTTAAGTGAGGAAACATTCATTGAACTTTCAGATTCGATTCAAGGAGTCTGATAATCAGAAAAATGTTCTGCATCAAATTCTTGAAAGATCTTATTTAGATCCAAATAAATAGGTTTTTTCGTCTTCTTCAAAGGCTTGTCAGTTGCAATACAGCGGTCAGCTGTTTTTGGTTTAATTTAGACATGTTTATGTCGTGCTTCAGGTTGACACATAGTGCTTTTACCATTCAGTTCTGTTGTATGTCATGTGAAACTTATGCTAGCTATTTGTTCTGCTCCAGTATTTAATATTTCTCAATTTTGGAACCTCAGTCTTCAATTTCCTATTAGCACTTTTTGATATTGATTCATTCTAATTTAATATGTCCTCGTCTAATTAAAAAAAAAAAAATACTAAATTGGTTAAACTGATTTTTAACCGACTTGAAAAAAGGAGGAGGTTCTGAATTCGACTATTTTTTTTGTATGTATGTTACGTGATACGATTTTGATGATTGTTTTTTTGTTGAATTACATAGCTATTAAAAATTAAATGAATGTAAAGTATTTGGGTACTTGAATTTAAATGATCTTCACATATATAGAATGATCCTTTCGAAACCTTCGATTTACCCACAGCAACACACCATTCCTTTTTATTATGGTCAGGAACGGGGAAAAATGTTTATCTGGTGAGGCCATAACTTTATTTTGACACTTGGGCACATATACAATAGGGTTTCGATTTTTTAACTGCCTCTGTGGCCGAACGGTTACCATGCCGGACTGCCACGCAGAGGTGCCAGGTTCGATTCCCGTGCCTACATTTATTTCTCTCGTGAGTTTGGGTGTAATTCGTGGTTGTCCATGGCACCCGCGACACAGGGTTTCCTTAGTGCGGGGCTATGTTGAGTGTGTGCGTTATTTATAAAAAAAAAATGATTAAAACTTAGTAGTCCTAAGACTTCATTCATTTCGGCTGCTGTAAACCATGAAAGGAAAACCAGGAGAAAATTTTCGA